AGGAGCCCAGAACCCTATTCTAATGAAGGCCTCTCCATTAGGCCCCCTTTCAGTCCTTCGGAGCTGGTCCAGCGAGGCAGACGTGTCTGAACTCGGCGAAGAGGACATGCCAGATGATCACTTCGATGAGCTTCAGGACGGCACTTGACTTGGGGGTCTTGAGTTCAGTCTTTGGAGGGTTTAGGGTTGAGGGTTCAGGCCTTTGGAGTTTGGGGCCTAGGGTTTAGGGTCTAGGGGATTTCGTGTGGTATCTCAATTTGGGCAGGGGGGGGGGCCCTGCAGCGACTCCATCAGACTCCTATACTAGTCTTAGTCGTAGAGGGTTCTTAATCAGGCTCCTGCATTACTCAACACTTCGCCTGCACCGTGACCGTTGCGATCCATTTGCCAGATTCCTTCTTTGTCTGGGTCCTTGCTCAGGAACGAGTTTTAAGATGTCATAGTGTGGTTTGGGACTCTACAGCCTCAACGCTATACTTGAACATCAAACAATCTTAAACCCCAAGCCACAAACCCTCAACCCCTGAACCTTAAAATTTAGCCCTGAACCCCAACAAAACCCCTACACCTGCGCCAGAAGCTCTCGGACTTCGTACGGGAAAGATTGATGCGGGAGCTGTCGACCTATGCGTTGAGCAACTCGCAGGAGGACGGGGAAGTCTGGGTTACGAGTTTGGGGGCAGGGGCCTCTATAGGGCCGTTTAGGGCCAGGGCGTGGGCTTGCCTGTGGAAGAAACCTGGAAGAATCATTGGGTCCCTCTGCAGCGCAGGGATTCTGCAGGGGTTGTTCATGCAAGCGCGTTCATGCGTGTCTTTGTGTGTGTGCATGTGCTCTCGTTTTTTCGTGTTTCATGGCTTTTCTTGCAGGAACTTCCCTACGCCCTAAACCCTACGAGCGAGTATTGCAGGAGTTTCGGAGGCGCTTCTAGAGAGCCCCTTGCTAGCTGCTAGAGTCTAGGGCTCAACTCCATTTGGGAACTGCTACTGAAGAGTGTAAAGTCGAGCCCTTTAAGGGTCCTCCAAAGCCCGATCGAAACTAGGCCCTACAAGTTTTAAACCCTGGGTGCGGTTCGTATTCGTGAGCATTCGGAACCCAGAAAAAGACATCGGAAGAGGGGTTTAGGTTTGAGGGCAAATTTGGCTCTAAACCCTAGATCCTAGATCCTCGAACTCAGAATAGGGTTGTGATACCTGGTTTGGGATTCAGGGTCCTGGACACCTCCCATTTTTCCACGAGACAGCGCCCGAAAGGCTCAGGACTCGCTGCACCTCTAGACTCAACTCTGGACCTTAAGAACCGTGAAGCTAAACCCTTACTGACGCCTACGCTCGTGGCTAGGAAGATGGGCAGACGTCGCAGTACGAGCTGCTGGCGTGCCCTGTTTGGAGGCGCAACCCTGACCTAGGGTAAAGGGTTTAGGTTAAACCCGGAGCTTTGGGGGAGGGAGTCTCAGGCGAAAACTCCTAGAAGCGCTGGAAGTTTTAGGATTTGGGGTTACGATGTCTTTCCCAGTTTCGTGTTCGGTTCGGGGGTGAATGTCATGGAATCCCTTGTATGCATTAGATCCCGGTGTTCTGAGTCCGGACCAACTTGCTGCAAAGCCCATGCTATGTGAGAACAGATCAAACGCCTCATAAGCATGGTCATCGATTTGGGGGTCAAGAGGCTCAGAGCCTACTGGAACGTGCTGCCTTCAAGTGCGTGCATATTCTACAGCACAGAAACTTCGTTGTTTGCGGGTTCATGCTTGGTCAATAAGAAGTCTGAAGTTTATGGAAGACACAAACTTACTAAGTGTTTTTAAGGGGCCCGCAATTGGTCTAAGACATCCCACACAGGTAGCGAGCCTGAGCTCTTGAGCCCGTCGACCTGGCTGGCTCTCCCGACCTGAAATCATTCACTCTGGGACTATAGGAACTCGACTTGAAAGTTGGTGTTGTTTAGCCTTTACTTGTGGGCGATTATTTATCTGAACTCCGGAACAGCGGACCGCAGACATTCAACTCACTTCAACTCCTGGACCTAGACTCCTGAACTCCCGAACCCGTAAGCCCTGCACCGCTCAACCTCTTAACCCCGGATCCTCAGCTGTCAGGGTCAGCGGACCCAGAAACGCGTTGCATGATTGCCAGGCCCGGGGATCCACTGGGCAGCCGAGGCAACAGACATCTCACCAAGAGTTCGAAGGACCCTTGGCTAGGAGTAAAATAGGAGCCTGAAGCTATACTTAAGCTGCCTGATACCAGTGCTATTCCGCATGGTTCCTTATTCTAGTTACAATACTAGATCGCGTGCCCAATCCTATTCTTACAATTTTGAGAGTTTAGGCTTCAGAGCTCCATGGGAGCTTAAGTGGCTTTTCGAGCTTTAAGGGAAGGTCTAGACGAGAATTCGTGGGGTTGAGGGTTTGCCTGAATCCTAGATCCTTCGAAGCCTCTACTGGGGATGTTAAGCTTTGGAAGCCGAGTGTCTTTTTTGGGGGGAGGCGTGGTGCGACTTGGGTTTGCGATCCAATTTCCTTACAACGTCTTGAGCGCCAAACCTGCGTTGTCCGAGTCACTGGACGCAGGGCTTGGAAGCCAGAATCCAATTCTGGAGGGGCGGGGGCGTGGGTGGCCCCTTTGACAGGGTCTGGGTCAGAAGGGGAACGAGGAATTTCTGACCACTTCGGCCAGCTCCGAGGCGAATAAAACCGTTTAGTCCTTGTGGAACCCATCCTATAACTCCAAACCCCTGACCCCTTTCAGGTTTTGAGGGGTTCATGAAGGGTTGATCGGTTTCAGGGTACCGGTTTATGGGTGGTCATAGAGAATTGCAGCATCAGGATAGGTGTGGGCGCCTCTGCAGGCGATTGTAGCTTTCCGGTATCCTGAAATGTAGGATTGAATCAAAGGCACGGAGATTCCACAGTAGATAAACTGCAGCCGACAGCCCCATGTCCTGCGACCTGCAGCGCTGTACTTGAGAAGGGTCAAGGGACTTACTAGGTTTGTGAGAAGTACGACATTCCTCATTCGGTTAGCAGTTGAAACTTCAGCGATACCCCCTTTGCCAAGCTTCGTCGCCCAAACCCCTGAAACGTGTTGCCCACCACACCAAGGACCGCAAATCGCCGTCGACAGGCAGTTTTCAAGTTGTGTATCGGTTAGTGTTTAAGCTGTAGGATTTAGGGCTCAGACACGCGGAGGTTGGTGGGTTCTATAGGGTTTCTACACGGGTTCTTGAAGGATTGCAGAAGAGTTCTTGTAGGATTTACACGGGCTCTTTAAGCCTCTTTGAGGGCTTTACAGTTGCTTCGGTTCTTGAGTGGTTGTATCAGTCGAGCATGAGAGGGGTTGGAGAAAATGAGGGCCTCAACACAGGGAGCCTTTTTACAAGAACCGCTAAATAAGGCGACCCCGACCCTAAAGTTCCGAAAGTTGTGAAGAAACCCTCACGTGGAAGAGGTTTCCTGTCCACTTCAACAACTATCCTCCTATCATGGGTAAATCCTGAACATGCGGGTAGGCCAGAGTGAACCCGGGTGGTTGCCTTTGTCAAGTGGGTAGTTGTCAAAATTATGGTCCCTTTTGGGGTACCCTAAATAATAGGTGCCGTATTATAATAAGGACCCAAAAAGGGACCATAATTTTGACAACCACCCAAGTACTGAAGCCAGAAGCTTTGGGCTGAGGAGCACGGGCGAGTTTGGTTTGGAGCGTCAGGAAGGAAATCAAACCCGAAGCCCTAAACCTGATTGATCACTACCGTTTCTTCAAGTGCCTAGGGCCTCGAGCGTACGATCCTTAGAGAATCCACATCGCAGGAAGCTGTTTCTTCGTGAGAGGTCTGCTTTCTGTGTTCTGTGATCTTGCACGGCTACTTTATTGATATGAGAAGGTCGGTCGATTGAAATCTCAACATCTCGGCTCCAAATCCCACTGTAAGCTCTAAACCATAAACCCGGATTCCAAGCAAAGACAACATGACCAAAACTGGAGCCACCAGGCAAGTGAGAGTTCAAGCAGCAACAAACAGCAAACATCTGCAACAAATAAAAAACATCCGCTCTCCCACCAGGCCCGGCCAAAGCGTCAGCATCCGGCAAGCTCGCGCTCGGACTTCTAGGGGCCAGGGCCTCTGGGTCTTAACAACTTCATACAGAAGTCACATACAGTATTTTCTGAGTTCTTATCTTATGAAAATTGAATTGCATGTCATATGGTAGCAGATTCTGTTTTTGTTCTAACTGTGGGCTTTTCCCTACTTCACCCTAAACTCTGCCAAGTTAAAAAACCCCAAGCCTTAAATCTCTAAACCCTCAGCGCTAAATCTTTAAGGCCGCAACCCTAAACCCTAAGCCCTAAACCCTCGGAAGCTTAGCCCATAAGCACCTGCGAAACGATCACAGGGGAGCGCCTCCTTCATCTCCAGGTGCAGTACAGCGAGACCATTAGGGTTTAGGGTTTAGGGTTTCGGGCATCAGGAGTACTGGTCCCTGATCGGGATGCCTCTGCCGCATTGACGACAAGCCCTTGGCGGTGGCAAGCCATGCATGAAGCCGTCTGACAGTGCGGGACCTCTTCGAGATTCCCTTTTGTGGACAGGCGTTTTGGTGCAAAGCCTTAGGGTGGCAAGGCCAGGGCAGTGGTTTTATCAAGCACCGGCTCTCCCTGGACTTTGTAGTCTTTGGCTGACTCGGTCGAGGATCAGGGTTTATAGGGTTTAATCGGAGAGTTTAGGAATTTCTGATCAGTCTTTGGGGTCCATGGTTCGTACCCCTTACCTCATCAGTGTACGCGTTATATACTTTGTGTCAAGTCACTCTATGGGAACCCCTCTAAGGCCAAAGAGGAAAACACGACCTATCTATCTATCCACACATGTGTACAACTCTAGCTCTCTCACTCTCTCTCTCTCTCTGTCCCTCTCTGGCTTATATATATATATATATATATGAGGATTGATCTAAAGGTCCTTGTGTGGGTCGTATATAAAACCGTTTTGGCATGTGAAATAGAGTGTCCGCGAAAGATTCGCGATGGGTCCGCGAAAGGAAAACAATAATCCGCGAAAGTTGTTGTGTAATAGCTTTGGGCCGTATAGGACTTGTAAGGTATATGCGGTACCAGTCTGTAGGCATGCAGGTCGCAAACTCGCTGTCCCACCATGTCGCAATCCAATATACCCTAAGCC